CCCGACACCGGCACATGAGATTTGATTACAGTGGTGAAGGCTTCGTGCAGGACCATCCACACTTTTTGAAGGGACGAATACAGATACCTGGTGCACTGAATGCCACAAGGTTACTAAACGACCCTTTATATATATATATATATATATATATATATATATATATATATAAGTAATTCTCGAGTCTGAAAGAAACCTCAACAGAATGCAGAAAGCACTGGACGGCTGTTTCTGTCCTATATTTGGGACTCATCAGCATCAATATATTTATAATAAAGGCAGGATGTGTGTGTGTATGTGTGTGTGTGTGTGTGTGTAACGAATGCAAGCGAATGAGCCAAATGGAGTAAAGTGCCATGCAGATTTAAATTTTTCTCACTTGTGACGAATGCAGCTATCGATTTTTTTTTGCATGCTAGCGTGCTAGTTAACACTCGTGTCAGTCAGCTGTTGGCTCTCACGCTGGCCAATAGAATCTTTCTGCCTATTCGTGGCAGCCAGCTATAGGCTCTCACTCTGGCCAGTACAAAATGAGCGCAAACTACATGAAAACTGCCGTAGAAGCATGAAAAACTCGATTATTTCCACTATCGATGGGAGTTGGGAAATGCAAAGTTGGTCTTGGCCTTCCCGCTAACTTGGAGCATGTGCATGTAACATTTTGGTGCAAATACGTCGAAAATTGCGGCCGTGCATTCGTTACACAAGAGGATACAGGAGATAGAATTTGTTTCTTATTGTGGACGGTGTTGCCGTAGTCTGAAGCGGTCTCTTTGAAGTTTGTCAGCGCTGTCGCTTTTAGCATGAGGTTGTTAAGTTCACAAGCTAGAGTGGCGTGAACCTTGATGTCAGCTGTGCGTATCTTGTTTGGGGCTGGATTTCGTGTGTTTTATACACATTCTCTTAAGAAAATCGGCTCCATCCCCCACTACCTACACGATATTAAATTTACATCTTTTTTTTTCCCAACTCTCTCTATATGCCATTTTTATATTTTTCTTTTCCCCACTCTCTATATATGACTTCTGGCAAACACACAAGATAAAATGTTCACAGAGTTTTATATAGTAATAAGATATCACTTACACCCAGAGCACGGTCTTCATTCTTTTGCTGAGAATCTGTGCGTATATTGAAATAATTTTATACAAAATACACACTATAAAAGACCCAACAGATAGAGTTTACTGTTAATGATGTGTGTGATATGAATAAAAGAGTGGGGTGGAAGAGAGTTAATATCATGGGCATGTCAACTGACCCTTGATTTGAAGAAATTAAGATTCCTGTGTTCAGGGAAGCATCTACTAGGAAGTCAGGTTTATAAAGTGTCAGTTCTTGGGTAAATGCAGTCTAAATGGAAGGCGTTCTTTTTATTTGGAATACGGAGGAGATGAGGAGATAGTTCAGATGTTAAGTCTGCTGTTTAATCCAATGTCTGACTAATTAGAAAGACAAGACATCAAGCAGCTAATAGTCTTGCGCCAGACTAAACAATGCTCACAATCATAGAGAGAGAAGAGAGAAGAGAGAAGAGACATACAGAGAGAAGTAAACAATTCTAAAATCTTTTTCCTCACCTCAGTAATAGGGGTACGTTAAAAATCGATCTAATATATAAATCTCAAAATGCGGGTGTTTGCTGAAAGACCAGAAATTTAGATATACATTTCATTAAAAAAAAAAGGCTTTACCGCTTATATCTATTTGCATGTTTCTTATATCTTGCCCAACTTGATAATGTTTGCTTAATCTAATATAAAATAATAGAGGCTTTATAAATTACACATAACAGCCCGTGTTTTATACCTTGCACAACTCAGTAATGTTTACTTAAAATAGTATCAAAAAATGAGTCTTCATTGTTTACACCAAACTGTTTTATTGTTTTATAACTTGACCAAATCAGGAGTGTTTGCTTAATGTAATATCAAATAAATGAGGCTTTGTTGTTTATACCTTGTAGCAGACCCGGTAGCATGCAGTGTTGGCCTATGAAAAAGGTGGCCTTGTGTCAGACACTACTCACGACTACCGAATCCACTAACAAAATAAAAATAATAAATGTGTGATCTTTAGCGAGGAAAAAGGGTCATTCGTCACATGCATAAAAATAGTAAAATATAGATAGCCAGGAGGAAACGACAAAAACGAGTCTGGTGGAAGACAAATATAAAACTTTATTTTAATAACAAATATTTGGTCTCAACAACGAATAGTCAGTAATAGAATGTTAATGTTCCGCGCCAAAACGAAAATCAAAATGGCTAAGGCGGGAAAAGTTTCTTCAGAAGGAAAGTTCTGGAACAGAGTCTTCTTATACAAAAGGTACATGCATACACAACAAAGAAAATACTCACTGCGAGGTTTTATAATGTGTGTGTAATGTTATCTTTTTTTTTAAACTGGTTCGTAAAGGTTAGAGTTCAAAAGGTATATGTGAAGTTCACCAATCGGCTGAGTCGAAAAACTCTACGTTCGCTAATAGTGAACGGAGGAAAGTTCGAACAGGTTGTTCGCAGAAGGACGATGAATTAGTCTTTTTAAAAGTGTGATGACGACAGTGTCGTAGACTCTACATTCTCCGGTAGAAAATTTCAAACATGTTGTTCGAAACAAGTTGCAATCACAAGAAAAATATTCGGCATAATGAACCAAGGAGTCACTAGGAAGTTTTTGGTTAGTTAAGATATTCCGGCCCGCGTATGGGTAAGGGGCACGAAATAAATGAGTCAACCTTCTTCTGGAAACAGGCCGTGACTGACTTGAAAAACAAAGTTTGTCAGTGACGTCAGAGAAATGCGCGGGAAAACTTCAAATTCCGTTCTAGCTGGAATCAGGAGCAGCCAGACCTCCTCACGTCGGCAACAAACAGGCTGGTTTACTACTATGTCTAGCCGATCATGAAAGGAAGGAGTGCAATCCGCGTACGCACGTAAAAATAGTTGGAATCCCTGCGCGATTCCACAACCTAGCAGCTTGTGTTTTATATCTTTCCCAACTCAGTAGTGTTTACTTAATGTAATATCAAATAAATGAGGCATTATTGCTTACACCTAATAGCCCGTGTTTTATATATTGCCCAACTTTTTAATTTTTGCTTAATGTAATATCAAATAAATAAGGCTTTATTGCATATACCTAACAGCCTGTGTTTTATATCTTGCCCAGCTAAGTAGTGTTTGCTTAAAGAAATATCGAATAAATGAGGCTTTATTGTTTATACCTAACAGCCCGTGTTTTATATCTTGCTCAACTTAGTGGTGTTTTTTTAATATGGCCTCAATCAAGTGTGGTTCTATCATTTATATATACCAGCAAGTATCTTGTATCCTGCTCACCTTAACAGTATAATGGTGTTAGCTTTTTCATGTTAGCCATTAACAATATTTTGTAAGTTGTTTCTTCATAAATAAGCGATGGTTTTGTTGCTTTTTTATCTAAATTGTTTTTTTTTATTCCAATAAAACAATTTTATTCTCTAAATGCGTTAACAAACTTAGCATTTAGACCACTGACTGTGAGTAAATTGAAGTAAGCAATGTAGAAACGAATATTTTTAATAGTATATTTTTGAAAATCTAACATATTATAAATTATAACGTTATACGATACCAAATAAGAAGTACACGACTTACCAAACTGTTTAAACCTATGAAAAGAGAAGTCGACAAACTTGTGCAGTATATAAGAACTAAATGTAATACAATTGATCTTATAATTTCTTGGTTACAGATCACTATATTTATGATTGGAGTATAATATGGAATCGGCTCCAGAAAATACTAGAAGTGTACGAAATACCAAAATAGGTCATGCATTCGCTGACACACGAGAGCATCAAAAGAGGCAGGGCCTTGGGAAAGTTAATTACGAAAGTTATCAGGTGCAGTATCAATGTCAGTGGCTGCATCGACGTATAAACAATGTTGATCCAACCGAGTGTACACACGCCAAACAAACGGATAAAGGGAGGTTATATAAGTACCCCACCGAGAATATATATAAAAACAATATATATAAAACAAACTACTCGCACAAATCAAAACTATAAAAAAAAAAAAAAAGAATGTCCCTTAACTGACAACTGATTGCAAAACAATGTAATATATCAAACCACTTTAAAATCAACAGATAATAAAGAAAAAATATACATTGGAGTAAGTGAAGGACCTAGCAAACTGAGAAACTACAGACACGAAATACCCTTTAGAAATATTAAATACGCCAACAGCATAATATTTTCTAAAAATATATGAGAAATTAAAAACAAATGCCAAATCATACCAAAAATATCATGGAAAATAAGGAAAAGAGCACCAGCCTACAACAATAACTGTAAACTCTGTCAAGAGAAGAAATTAGCGATAATTATTTTCCCAGACCAACAGATGCTACTAAATAAACGAGCTCATCTCAAAATGCAGACATGAAAACAGATTTTGACTACGTTACTTAAAAATCTAAAAGTAAAAACGAATACGAAAAAAAAAAAAATAAGTAAAATAAAATAAACAAAAAATCTAAATCAATAAATAAGTAAAGAAATTAAGTAAATAATAAATTAACAAACTATGAATGCATACATAATCACAATTAAACGTAAAAATAACAATCAACAAATAATAAAAAATGAATAATGAGTTAAAACGTTAAGAAACCACATTGTAAAATAGTTACAAATAACCGCATTCGGATCCACAATGATTACCACTCAATAGCCTCTAGAATAATTTGAAACATAACCGTTACCGCCTACCAATAACCGTTGGACCTTACGTTCACAGCAGCAACACCTATCGTTGTGAGGCTGTGGACTTATCCTCCCATATAGAAGTTTACAGGGTTAATATAAATGAATACATACGGTATTGTGCTCGCGTAAAGTGAGTTTTACGTTTGTAAGCATTCTCGATTTTAATTAAATTATGGCGATATCAAAAGAAATGAATGTACTAACGTCTTTACCCAATGAGCATCCGACTTCTAGTGCGTATGTAAGAATGTATATTTTTTTATACAAACTCTCTCTCTCTCTCTCTCTCTCTGTCTGTCTGTCTGTCTCTCTTTTTGTGGGTATGGATGTGACTGCGTTGTGATAGGGAATGGGATTTAAATACCAGGATGAGGGTTGTGCAATATGTCTCGCCTAATCACTGTTTCTTCTCGCAAAACCTGATCTTATCACACATCCGGACTTCCATCTTTACTTATTTTCATTTTTTTTCTCTTCAAGTTGCGGCCAGAAGTACTAGGGACAAGGGATGCTTAGTGGGGTTGAATTCAAAGGCGGGAAAAAATAGCGAAAAATCAGAATTAAGAAAGAAAAGAAACGTGTGTCTTAAGAGAAAAAACAAATGGGTTTGGGGATCGAGTATATAGTGAGAAAAATAAGGTTTTATTCATTTCGACGAAGTCAAAATCTAGCATAAGGATTAAGTGAGATTAGATCTCACTTTTGGTAGGAAAATCGAGCAGACTACTTAATTACCATGGACGCCCTTGTAGAACTGCTTTTATATCTTGTCTTTGAGTGTTTAAAGTATGAGTAGGACCTCGTTTCCGCACATGACGTCAGTTTTCATTTGGTGGGTTGTCGTGTTAGATAAAGTATATTCGTGTAGTATCATTTTCACTCTTTCTTTTAAGAGCGCTCACACATTGATGATAATGACAAGTCACAAGTTATCGACAGGACAAGATTAAAGAAAAAACTGCTTGCTTGTTTTATTTTTTCTTTAGATATTTAACGTTAAAATAAACAATTTTGTGAGGAGTTTACACTTGATTGGCCAGCACAGTTTTTCCTGAGTTGCTTCGTCCTGTGCCAATTCGCGTTTTCCAGCGTCAACTGTAATCTATCTATCTATCTATCTATCTATCTATCTATCTATCTATCTATCTATCTGTTTCGCTTGGCTCCTATCTATCCAACGTCAACTGTAATCTATTCATCTATCTATCTATCTATCTATCTATCTATCTATTCATCTGTTTCGCTTGGCTCCTATCTATCCACGTCAACTGTAATCTATCTATCTATCTATCTATCTATCTATCTATCTATCTATCTATCTATCTATCTGTTTCGCTTGGCTCCTATCTATCCAACGTCAACTGTAATCTATCTATCTATCTATCTATCTATCTATCTATCTATCTATCTATCTATCTATCTATCTATCTGTTTCGCTTGGCTCCTATCTATCCAACGTCAACTGTAATCTATCTATCTATCTATCTATCTATCTATCTATCTATCTATCTATCTATCTATCTGTTTCGCTTGGCTCCTATCTATCCAACGTCAACTGTAAATTCATCTATCTATCTATCTATCTATCTATCTATCTATCTATCTATTCATCTGTTTTGCTTCCTATCTATCCAACGTCAACTGTAATCTATCTATCTATCTATCTATCTATCTATCTATCTATCTATCTATCTCAATCTGTAGCTATATATCTGTTTCATTTTATTTGCATCTATCTATCTTTACCTGTCTGTCTCAGTATGTTTATATCTGCTTATCTAGCGGGAAGTACTAAGAGAGAGAGAAAGAGAGAGGGAAAGAAAGAGAGTGTGCGTGTGTGTGTGTGTGAGAGAGAGGGAGAGAGAGAGAGTAGACGGATTCAGACTGATGCTGTTCATTTTCATTTCACATTGCTGACCTTATGAAAAGCATGAATCTACTTTTCCCTAAATTCTGTCCCATTGCCAATTATATGGACCCAAATCCTCTTCACTGACACGCTACAAACTTGAATAGGTGACTATAGACGTAAATAACCTTCAGTAGCAAAAGTCTTTCATTCGTCTGACAGTCATTTAATTTCACAACTAATAAAAGGGAAAAAAAGCTATAGACAGTCATGTATACTCATATTAACGATCATAGATTTCTTTATATTATTATTATCCCAATACAAAGCCCAAGAGCCACTCAAAATAGAGTGTTATTGAATAAGGTCGCTGTAAGAGCAGAAAAAGAGGAAGTGTGAAGCGTATGTTATGAGGATGTAGGACAAATAATGGTTGAGGCTTGCAGCTGTATCAGGTTCTACGATCACCGAACGTGGAGCCTGATAAGTACCTTCGTGGCCGACCGCTTGGGAATAGAAAATGTGGTAAGCTTGGAAATGCAGGAGTGTAAAGAATAACGGCTCGAAATTGTAAATCGGAGAGCCGTGTTCAAATTCACGTTAGGTTCATTGCAAATACCCTTGAAAAAAGTATGAATGCACGTATTCTCCCTCTAACTATGGGTTAATTAATATCAGTAAATCATTATTTTCTCCAGAAGATTCTTACAATCTTAAAAATATTTCCGGAATTTAGATAATCTGTAAAAGTCTATTTACATTTTTCGGACTATTGTCCTCATCCTTGTAGCCATATTTGTCACAACATTTCAGCCTTTGTACGCTCCGGCCTTCTTCAGGTGGTTGGAATGTCGAACTGAACCCTTTATTTCACTCGCAAGGGTAGACTGTTCTAGTTCCACATGCCATGTCTAATGGATGTCAGTTATCAGTTATCTCCTGTTAATTCCCCTTTCCAAGTTCTCCACTGCCTTAACCAGGTATTGAACTCACAACTCTTTGGGTCCTGTCCCTGGATCTAACCAACGCCTTTCAACACTGACTTAAGGACACATGACACAGTGAATAATGTAAATAGTGTACATAATGCCTCATCTCTGAAATATAGACAGAATCTATAAAAGGTTGATAAACCGTAAAAAAAATCACTCATTTAGGTAACGGTTGCTCTTAGATTTGAAAATCGTAGTAGTTGGAGAAGTATCTTTTCCACAAAGTAACGGTTCTCTGGAAGACTCTATCTGAATGGAACTTACAGACGGAATACGAATGAAATAGGGATGATTCGTTCCAGGCACGGTGGATTAATGTATAGCGGCTCGGATTGATGAATCGGAGAGCCGAGTTCGAATTCCAGTCGAATCCATTACATTCACTTACGTGCTAATACCCTTGGCAAAGGTATAAATCCTCTTCTGCTCTGGGTAAATAGCAGGAGAGACCAGGTTCTATAGCCTTGGATGGCAACTGGTCTAACTTAAAAAGAAATGGCAACCTACTGTGGGAAAAAATCTGCCCCGTCAGTCATGTATCGAAAGATACATGATCGCTTAAGCGTGTATCCCGCATGGCACATAACTGACTGATTTCTTGTATATATGCCGAGTTTGAATTCCAATCGAATCCATTACATTCACTTACATGCTAATACCCTTGGGAAAGGTATGAATCCTCTTCTCCTCCCCATCCCAGCTATGGTAAATAGCAGGGGAGACTAACAACTAGCATGGCAACTGGTCTACCGCAGAAAGAAATGGCAACCTACTCTGGAAAAAAATCTCTCTCGTCAGTCATGTATCGAAAGATACATGATCGCCTACGCGTGTATCACGCATGGCACATAACTTACTGTAGGTGACTCGGCGGGTCTTAGATGTGAAGGTCTGAACTGATGCAACTATATTTATATTCATTGGATTCAGACATCTGTTTTCTTGTACGTAAAAAAGAAAAGCGGATTTCAAGAGTTATTTATCAAAGGTCTTTAAGCAAACATGCATCAATGAATGATTGCTGCCATAAATATAGTGATTTCTCTAATAAAATAGTAAAATATTTTGGAGAAATAATTCTTATAGATTAGCATTCAATAGACCTTCTTTAGGCCACATTTGTGAGAAACAATAAGATTGAATTTTATCGTTTTAAAAGACGGACCCTATTCATAATGTTGATAGTGTCAAACTGATCACTGAATTTTTACAGAGTTATTGCACTTAACTGTTACAAAGATAATAATTCTTAAATGTAAATTAAACGGATATATACTTTTATTCATTTATGTAAATTTTTGTTCTTAAATTAAAAAAAAATATATCCGTTTGTTCTTTATGTAAGAGAAATCTTTTTAAAAGAAAAAATGTTTATTTTCGTAGCCCAGTGTTGTTCTCGTTCCGCATTAGCAGGCAGGTCAGGTTTAAGTCTCCAAGTTCTTCATTCAGAATTGTCCCACAGGGCAATAGCCAATCGGATGAAAGCATTAGTACGTGAATTTGGTACCGTAATCTATTCATAAAATAGCGGAAACGCGGACATGAACTCAATGGAAATCGGGAGAGCAATATCTGAGCAGTATTAAAGAAGAACTAGACAAGATATTTCTAGATGTAGTCATCGGAATGAGAACAATCTACCTCCGTAGATGAGCTCAGTTTGAAATTCCTTGAAGCTTGCCTGGATCAGCAATCATCTGATGTAGGCCAGAGAAAACATCAGTTGAAACGTCATGATAACAACAACAAAGATCGAGGTAATAGTCAGTATGTAAATATTAATAACTCCTAATCAAAGAAATTCATGTTGACACGTTTCTCACCGTTCATTTTGATGTCGGGTGTCTGTACCAATTCCAACAATTTTCCTATTCTTTACAAAGTCTGCAAGTTGAGCGTTCTTACGAAGGATAATAAAACCCAACATAACGTTGATGGGAAACGTACAAAGAACCAAATTTTTCTGTCGATGTTTTTCGAGTTAGACATATCTACGATCGAAATCAATTGGATTTATTCAATCGAAATTATTTTATATACTGAAAATATTCTAACAGAATGTTGATTGATTTATAGTTTTTGCAGGTTGTTCAAAGCCATTTTTATAATGTAAGAATTTATTGGAGATAATAAATCGTACTAATTAACCCATATCTGGGGGACAAGAGATGGATCCATACCTTACCTACGGGCATTTGCGTGCAAGTGAATATAACGAATTCGACTGGAATTGGAACTCGGCTCTCCGATTTCCAATTCCCAGCTGTTATCCATTACACCACCCGCACACCCAAGCTTAAAGCACCTGGTATTCCTAAGGGGTCACCCACCTAGATACTGACCAGTTGTTGTTTACCGTTGGTGAAGGGACGAGAACCGGTATTTCAACGTGATATAGCCGTAAGCCCCAAATTGGGATTCATTTCTAGTCTTGTTCATTTTCGCTCCGATGGTCTTGGGGAAAAATATGACACCCAACTATTCTCTCCCTCGGCCTGGGCAGGTCGTACTAATTAACCCATAGCTGGGGGACAAGAGATGTATCCATACCTTACCTAAGGCCATTTGCTTGCAAGTGAATATAACGAATTCGACTGGAATTAGAACTCGGCACTCCGCTTTCCAATTCCCAGCCGTTATCCATTACACCATCCGCACACCTAAGTTTACAGCACCTGGATTTCCTAAGGAGTCACCCACTTGGATACTGACTAGTCGTATCAACGTGATATGGCCGTATGCCCTAAATTGGTATCCATTTCTAGTCTTGTTACGTTCATTTTCGCTCCAATGTTCTTGTGGAAAAATATGATTTCCAACTATTCTCTCTCTCTCGGCCTGGGAAGGATTTAGGCCGTAGAACTTGGGGATCCTTCATTACGTATATTCGCCTCCCGTGTCTATAAAAAAAAAAAAGATATATTTTTAGATGATGTTTTTTTTTTGGTATAATGCATGATGAACTTCAACTAACTCAGCCAGTTTATTTCATCAACAACTTCATATTTTTTGTCCGAACTTTACATTCTGCATGAATGTATCGAGAGTGAAGGGCCTGTGTTAGACTGAAATTCTAGTATTCAAATCCACTTGCAAAGGATCCTAAAAAACATTGATGGAGAACGAAAAAAATCTGACTTGTTATTCTTTTGTGATCTTACATCGCCACTGCTGAAAATAATAATAATATTATAATATAATTATATTATTGTTGCAGACCCTCTAGTCTTAGAGCCTCTGGGCTGCAGCCCATATATAAATCCGGCACTGCCCTCCGTAGATAAACAACATTGCCTTGGGTTATATAGGAATAAAGTGTCGCTGACGACATTTGAGTTTGAACATAGATCGCCAGTGAGCAAACGCAGGCGATCCCATAAAGGAAACGCACATATAGGAAGTCGCGTGACGTCTAGATGTATCGCTATATTTCACTCCCCGAAAACCTTTTTCCTTCTCCGCAACCGCTAGTGCGTTTGCGGAGAAGGAAAAAGGGGAATGGCAGGTTGTTGGTAAGGCTAGAGGGAAGCTCCAGGCAGCGGGTCCTCGTCCCAATGAAGCCCCCAAGGTTAGTGACACATACAGTCCCATCCCCTCTACCAGCTCAAAGGGCAACTCCTCGACCCGCTATACAGATAAACTGCGGCAACAAAAATTACATTATGAGCCTTCTTTTGAGAAGGCAGAAAAACTGCAACAACTTAAGAAATCTCTAAAAACGGCTACCCCAAAAAATCTTGTCCTATTTCCTCGACACCGTCTTCCCCTTCTTCCAAGAAACACATTATGGCTCCTCCTCCTGTCGTGAGATCCCCATCTCCCACGCCCTCCAAACTTACAACCTTAAAAAAGCCTGCTTCAAAAGACCTTCCCACCGCTACAAATACCCCCCCCATTACACCAAAGCCTTCCCCAGTCAAAACTTCTCACCTGCACTCCTCCACCATCGAAAAGACAAAGGAGTCCGTCTCCTGATACTGCAGAAAATTCACAAATAAAGAAACCAAAACCCATATACAACATAGGAATGGACGTGTGCCGGGTCTCCAAGGAATTGGAAAACAAGGCTCTTCTTCATTCAAAAAAATTAAACAATCTAAAGACTCTTCTAAATTTCAGGAAGATTGGAGAATTAGATGCTGAAGATCCAATGAACTTCCCAAACGCGAAGAGAGTCTTGACGGTCATCCGTGCTGGTGAGGCTGGGCAGTAGATTTGATCCGTGGTAGCAGAGGCGAACCAAATTTTCTCCAATAACATGTTTTGATAATGAAACTCTTAATAAGTTACAACAATTTTGTGCAGGGAGGTTCCCGCTTTTTGTTCACCCCTCCCTGTATAGAGCTATTCAGTTAACTGTCTCCTTGGACGTCGGTGGCCTGTCTCCCGATGGCTCCATCAGTACTCAGTTGGGAACTGGTTCAATGGGAGAGGCCGTCAGTGTCCTTTCCCCGGCCATGTTCAACACAGGAAAGCAACACTGATTGGCTTTCATTATGGTCAGCAAGTTTGAATGCCCGGGGCCTGAGATCGGAGTCTCGAAGGGCGCGACATGATCGCGATCTTCAGTGCCTCGGGGTGGATGTTTGTTGTGTGCAGGAGACACATTTTTTATCTTGCGACCGTGAGGACCTTCTTATACAACCTGCACATCCAAGAATGCAGCACCTAGCATTCTCAGACGGTCACCCATCTAGGTACTGACCAGGCTTGACGTTTCTTAACTTCGGTGATCGTACGAGAACTGGAGTGTAAACTGGGCAATAAGCAAATCTACATATACCTATCCTTTTTAGTTGTTGCAATTGTTGAACGTCTTCGAGTTATGTAGCTTCTGCCATTTGGCACATTTCTTTGTTTGTGATTGTACAGCGCCATTCTACGAGGTTCGAAGAACGATGGTCCTCGCTAACACCTACAGGTTTTATTCGCCTGAAGCCTTTTTTTGCAAATGATCTGAGAAAGCGATTGTATATATATATATATATATATATATATATATATATATATATATATATATATATATATATATATATATATATATATAGTTAGATAGAGTGTATAATTAATAATGAAATAAAAAATTACTTGTGTTAAATTTCCTAAGATCTACTGTAAAAAAGAATTGTTTATCACATAACTGTTATTCCAGTATATTGTTATAATTGTTCTGCTTTATTATTCGTTTTCATCGTTAATCACCTAAATTCAAAAAATTAAATGCAACGTGAATCGCCATCTTCTGTCTTCCTGAAGCCTGCCACTTTATTGTCCTTTCTCTTAATTAAAGTCTTCTCATTCTCTTCCATTCCAAGTAACCATCTTGCGTCTTAGTGACATTATCGCCTTTTTCTTGGGGTGAAATGATGACAAAAATAGCAGATAACGGAAAAGTACGCGGTAACCTCGACAGTACTATAGGCAGAGCTTAGGTGTGAGAACAAAGCTTTATCCGAGAAGAATACTGAAATTGTCTGACGTAGCCAAGACTATTTTCTAAAATCTCTATCTATAAAAGGCAGGATGTGTGTGTGTGTGTCTGTGTGTGTCTGTGTGTGTGTGTGTGTGTATAACAAATGCACGGCCGCAATTTTCGACGGATTTGCACCAAAATTTACATGCACATGCTCCAAGTTAGCGGGAAGGCCAAGACCGACTTTGCATTTCCCAACTCCCAACGATAGTGGAAATAATCGATTTTTCATGCTTCTACGGCAGTTTTCATGTAGTTTGCGGCCATTTTCTACTGGCCAGAGTAAGAGCCTATAGCTGGCTGCCACGAATAGGCAGGAAGATTGACACGAATGTTAACTAGCATGCAAAAAAATCGATAGCTGCATTCGTCACAGGTGGGAAAAATTTAAATCTGCATGGCACTTTATTCCAATTGGCTCATTCGCTTGCTTAAACTCAACGTTGATTCTGATTCCGCAGAACTGGGTTGTGTGTGAAAAAGTATTTGTTGTTAACATTCTTTTTTCATTCGGTTTTTCCAGTTACGAGTCCTTTTTTTAAAGCTGATCGTTTTGTGTTCATTTTGTTTAGTTCTTTTTTCGTAACAGATTTAATGTTTAGAATAGAGCTTAGAAAAAATTCGCAGTGTGAGATAGGCAAGACGTAAGGCATGTAGCAACATCAGCACGGCAAAGGGCACTCCTTTAAAGGCAAGGAAGGGCAAAAATATTTTAAGTCAAGTGACTGCTAGTGTATTAATAGATTACAACGATAAGCTAGATTTTAATGTTGATTTTACTCGCAATGCAAATAAATACAAATTACTGAATCATTCATACACGGCAGAATTCAAGACGTTTTGTCCGCCTGGTGCAAAGTTTAATTTCATTTTAGGCATTAGGGATTCTCGAAAACTAATAATAATTAATATAATTAAAACCAGTTATATTAAAGTGACTTCTAATCATAGTTCATGATTAGAGGCCATTGCATTTTCTATTGAATTCAAAATATACGTGCACAATTACGCGTCAAAATAGTGTTTTACTAAATATTACAAGATCTCTTTTACAGGTATAAAACTGAAAACGTTCATTTTCTTTTTGGCATTCTTTTCAACGCTTTCGAATGGCAACACATCGTCAGCATTATATCAGTGGATTCGAGATGACATTCAGAATTGCATACCTACAATAGTAACGAGTGAAATCAAAATCAAGTATCAGAAGTGACACGCGGAATCTGTACAGCGTTTGACAAAGATAAAGTTAGGGAGCGCAATGCTCGGAAGTGATACAAAGAGATTTTCAAATTGCAAATGACTTATACAAAGATGGAAGTTATACAGGAGGACCGGTAAGCATTGATGACAGCCGTCATAAGACTGGAGTCGACTCTAATCTACTTCAAACATGTCAAGATTACGGTAGGTTAGTGAATCTAACGATAGCTCTTACTGGGATAATTTTAATATGGAATATAAGTCTCACAGGTCAAAAATCACATAGAATTGTCAAAAATGTAGACAAAATAGACTCGGTTAGGCACTATAGTCAAAATAGTAGACATAGATTCGGTTTGACACGAGAAAAGGTTGACATAAGTCCAATTTACACTCGAATAGTAGAAAGGCCCGGTTTTAACCTCGAATAAAAAAGATAGAATTAATTCCGAATTTTACACTCGAATCAAAAAGGTAGACATAGGACCAGCTTTAGACTAACGTGAAAACAATAGACATAGGTCCAGTTTTACACTCGAATCAAAAAGGTAGACATAGGACCAGCTTTAGACTAACGTGAAAACAATAGACATAGGTCCAGTTTTACACTCGAATCAAAAAGGTAGACATTGGTCCTATTTTACACTAGTCAAAATAATAGACATAGATTCAGTTTTACACGAAAGCAAAAATATAGACATACGTTCGATTTTACATTCGAGTCAAAAAAGCTGACATAGCTCCGGTTTTATACTAACATCAAAACAGTCGGCCTAGGTCCAATATTACTCTAGTGTCAAAAAGGTTGTCATAGCTCCGGTTTTATACTAACATCAAAACAGTCGGCATTGGTCCAATATTAGGTTGTCTAGTGTCAAAAAGGTTGTCATAGCTCCGGTTTATCCGGTTTTAACTAACATCAAAACAGTCGGCATAGGTCCAATATTACTCTAGTGTCAAAAAGGTTGTCATAGCTCCGGTTTTATACTAACATCAAAACAGTCGGCATTGGTCCAATATTACTCTAGTGTCAAAAAGGTTGTCATAGCTCCGGTTTTATACTAACATCAAAACAGTCGGCATTGGTCCAATATTACTCTAGTGTCAAAAAGGTTGTCATAGCTCCGGTTTTATACTAACATCAAAACAGTCGGCATTGGTCCAATATTACTCTAGTGTCAAAAAGGTTGTCATAGCTCCGGTTTTATACTAACATCAAAACAGTCGGCATAGGTCCGATATTATTCTAGAGTCAAAAAGAGAAACATAGGTCAGGTTTACACTAGTGTCAAAAAGATAGAAATTAACCGAATTAGTTTGAACGCATCTACCCGGAAGGTGGCCACTTCCAACGGGAGGTCTTCGTCTTCTCAACAGTATGTGGGTGGCGTATTTTAATCCCGCTGACGGAGCAGCAAATGTCTCATATGTTTGAATTAAGATCTTACCCAGGCAATGAAAACATATGTCTGTTACTGTATCACACACAAAAAGAAAAAAGATATATGTAGCAAGAATTGGCATTCCAAAATAAATAAATAAAACAGAAAAATGGAGACGTACAAAACTTTTGTTTTCTGTAAAATTCCCTCTTTTCACTTCGTATGTAATTGCAGTAGAACATTCATGTAAGTACATTTTTTAAACGTCCTGGGTCTGACGATAAACTACATCCGTGTCCTGGGTAAGACGATTAACTACATCCAACAGCAAGGCATCTGATCAGGCTGTTTTGAAGAGCGTGGAACCACCTCTTAATTGCTGCTGTGCCAAGGTCCACCCTGACCCAGGGTGGTAGCACCTGTTAAGGTCTCAGCTATGGGCATATAGTTAACCCTCAAACTGGGGACAAACACTATGAAAGTGCCAAAATAGGTTTTAATACCAGAAATACTTTGTAAAAATATTATTACCAGCATTCAATTTTTGACGAAAAAATTATTGCAAGCAATACATTATTAACAGAAATATATTTTAAAAAAAATTACGAGCTATACATTTTTGAAAAAAAAAAGAAGATTACCACTAATAAAAAATTTGTCGGCGTTAAATTACCCATTGAGGTTGATACTCCGTAAACCAAACCAGACAAAATATTTTTTAATGGCTTTTATATTTGTAACGTAAATAAGAATTGGATTTTGATAATACGAGCAGTATAACCTGTCTACGACCAGGTCTTTCATTACTGGGATTATTTATTGTTCAATTGGAGCATTATAAGTTTAAAGTCAGCCCACCCGAAAATCAATATTAGTAACAACATTTGGGTGCAACTGAGGCACATCCTCAAATGGTGGTGGTGGTGGGTGGGGGGTAACAATTTGAATGAGGGGTCGCCCTGAAAAGAGTCGTTTTGCGTTCTCAAGAATATTTCAGCCTCACGCACAGCAGCAGTTGAAGTCCTTTGATCCGCAGTTTCAGCCTCGCGCGCAGTAGCGTTCAGGTATGCTCTTTTGGAAAGCCGATGGCTACGTTGATCTTCGGACTCAGTGGCTCTGAAGTATTCCGAGAGGCATTTTGAGACAGGTTAACTAAACGTTCTAAAGACGATTCGTTATCCCTTATTCGCATGGCGAACCTGGCGGCAGTGGTTTTGTAACCTAGGCAAGTTATTTTCTTTGGTGGCATGTCTTAGGCAAGTATGAATTGCCAAATGGAATGCTTGGACAAATACCAGAAGAGAACGCTGTACATCTACAGGGATCACTAAACTCGAATACTTTTAGGAAAGATTGGAAAAATAAATGTTGAGTAATAAAAAAGCAAGCTTACTTATTATTACGGTGAATGTAATACAAAAACAATTAAAAAAATTAAACTGGGAATGGCTATAAACGACAATGAAAGCAACGCCTTAAAAATATATAGTAGGCATTATGCAACGGAAAAGGTAACCTTACCTGGGAGAGATTGAAAGCTTTGGCCAACATTCCATCACACACACACATACATACACACACATTTTGAGAAATGATAGATATAGATAATATTATTGTAATAATTTAATTTAAATTTAATTTTAATTTAAAGTATTTATTTTTATTAAAGTTTTATGAAAGATATCTATCCAAGAACAGATAGTAAAAAAACGTTGCTGAGAGTTATAAAGGACAGGAAGTAGTGGAGAGTCATTGCCGCCAACAATTTGGACTCAAAACCGGCACTATCAAACAAAAAAATTCATCGAAATCGGATAAAAACTAGAAACGCATAAACAACATTCGATTATACACACACACACACACACACACACACACACACACACACACACACACACACACACAGGGGGCCGACACTATTTTTGGGACACTTTGAAAAGTGTGCTTAAAGGTGTTTTTTTTGCTGCCGTGAGCTTTTGTGTTGATGAGTAGGTAGTTCAGCAGTAATTGTCCATTAATGGTATGAACATTGATTGATGGGTTTGTCTTTGGTTTCATGTTTTCTTTAGTTTTACTTCAACTTAGGTGACACTATTTTTCGGACATGACACAAATTCCGGGTTTTTTTTAATGATTTAGTCGTCGAACGTCTACAATATGCAAATTTTCTGCAGGTAAATTGTACCCTGACCATTACATTTGAGTATCTTTACCATTCAGTGCGAAAACGTATTAAAATCCTGAAGAAGAATGCATTCAAAAGAAGTCATCAGTTTGGTCCAAAAGAAGAGAGAAGACGGGCTCAGCATCCGAAAGATCACCGCTGAGATGAAGCTATCGAAGTCAACAGTTGAATACATGCTAAGTACAGACTATGAGCGGAAGAAGAAGAAGAGAGGACGAAAAAAAAAACAATTTCCAAGAGAACAGAAAGAAGAATGAAGAGGAGTGTTACGAGGTTGTTATCATCTGGAGAAAAGGTGACAGCGAAGAAAGTAAAGGAGAAGTGTGAACTTGACGTCAGTGTTCGAACTGTACAAAGAAAGCTACACGAAATTGGACTTAAGTATGCTAAAATCAAGAAAAGAGTTACACTAACGAGAAAACACAAGGAGGCAAGGCTGGGAAGCGACAAAAGATGGATAACAAACCATGTCGATTTCAAGAAAGTGATATTTACTGATGAATAACGTTTTAAGTTCGATGGACCTGACGGGTGGTGTACATGGTCGAGAAAAGGTGAACCTGTTATTCTCAACAAGAGACAGATGGGAGGAGGAGGAATCATAGTTTGGAGTATGGTATTTCCGAATGGAAAACTTCTGGTACGAGTGGTTAAAATGACGTCAAAATAGCTTGAGCTACAGAGAACTTTTGGAAAAGAGAGCCCTACCACTCATAGAAAAAGAAATGGGAAGTAATTTTAATTTGCAGCAAGATAACTGCCACATCCATGTGGCCAATCAGTGAAAAATTGGATGTGTGAAGCAAATATAACTATTCTGGAATGACCTGCAAGAAGTCCAGACTTAAATTTAATTGAAAACATATGAGAAATGCTTGCAGAACTTGTTTACGACGGGCCAGAAATAACCAGAGAGGCTGAACTGTGGCAGCGCATACAAGATTCTAAAAATAGACTGCTAGAAACACGAATAGACGTTATTATCAATATGTACGAACATTATGAAGATAGACTGATAGAAGTCATTGAAAAAAAGGTTTCTGCTATAAACTATTAGCATTGTTTCTGCAATGTCCGAAAAATACTGTGTAATGTGAAAATTTGTAAAAAAATAAAAATACTTCTAATTTGAATTCTGCTTTTCCATTTGTAGTATTGAAACAGTTTTTAAATGTTATTGTCATTACACTAAAACAGTACAGACTGCCTGTGTTTGAAAAAATAAAGTGTCTAAAAAATAGTGTCGACCCCCTGTACACACATTTTGAGAAGTATAGATATAGATAGATTGCACAAAAGATTTATAAATTCTTGGAATTACATTTCGCCCAATGGGATCCTAAACATTTTAGATCATCGATCTCTTCTCGGAATCTTTGATCTCTCATCCACCCCACCCCCCACCAGGCATATATAAAATACATCAATAATATTTATTAAGTATTTATAATATGCGTGATAATCATGTTTGTCTTTTAGTCGTTTAGTATTCATCTAATGTTGGCTGGACATCTAGCCATGTCGTAAGATGGGCTGGTCGTGCAGCAATCACCAATATTGACTAGCGATGTTATGACATAAAGTGCAACCCTAATGACCTTCAGCCCTTGATGCAGGACCGCGATGAATGTCCGAGCTAGCTCGACCGAATAAATAAAAAAAAAATTTATAATATTTATAAGGGTAGAAATTCTTTTGCCTTTTGTCGCCATTATTGCTTCTCATTTAGATTCATTTGCAGTTTCTATTTCGCTTCCTGTTCCTGGATTACGGCCACATTACGTTGAAACAATTCTCGTGCGATCACCGAAGTTAAGCAACGTCGAGCCTGGCCAGTGCCTAGATGGGTAACCATTTGGGAATACTAGGTGCTGTAAGCTTGGATGTGCGAGTGGTATAGTGGCTCAGAATTGTTAATAAGAATAGCCGGGTTCCAATTCCTGTTGGGTTCGTTATATTCCTTTACGCGCAAATACCTTTGGTAAAGGTATGAATTCACCACTTCTCCCTAGCTATGGGTTAATTAGTAAGATTTGTATCACTAAACTATTATCTCTTCCCCCCCCTCCAAAAAAAGTATTAAAATTTAAAAATATTTTCTGGCTTTAAATAAACTGCAAATGGTTGATAAACCGTAAAAAAATGAATGAATCAATCAGTATCTCTATTCCAAAAGTGTTCATTCGAATAACAATAATAATAATAATAAACATGATTGATGTAACTCTTTTGATATTTTACCAAACTTAGTGTAAAGTTTGACTTAAGAAAAGAAAAAAAAACACAGCGTTTAACAATGTTTAATAATATTTTCCAGTTTGTCTGCCTTCAAGTGATGTTTAAAAATATGAATTATTTTCTGAAGACAAGCGATGTTTTTTTTTGTTTTTTTTTTTAAGCAAATCGTCCCAAGCAATGCAGATGTTCCACTAGAACGCAAGGGGTTACAGAGAGTGAAAGTAAGAGTAAAGAGGAGTGTTTGGGGGAAAGGATAAAGAGAAGGACAGTGATCAAGGTCAAGACATCAGAAGATGTCGATTGAGATTACATTTGAATATTTGAAGATCAGAGCTATCAGGGAAGCAAGTGATAGGAAGGGAGTTCCACTGACGGGATGTGCAAGATAATATATTGTTGGAGTATAAGAGATGGCTCCATTTAGCCGTTTTGGCAGTGAAAGGGTGGGACAGAGATGCTAACTTAGGAGCACGCTTAAATTCAGTTTGGGAAAGAGTGAAAGTAGCTCGTCGGATCAGTTGTCAGGAAAATACTTATAGAAAAGACAGAGGGAAGGCACATCACGTCTGTGAGATAGGGAATGTAGACGAGACGCCAGATCAGAACCAATCACGTTCCATATCCGCCTCTGGATTTTGTCGAGGACCGCGAGATGAACAGCGGGAACACCAGACCATATATGGCAGCAGTATTCCATGCAAGGACGAATGGTTGATTTGTAGATTTAAAAGATGGACTCCGACAAGAAGAACCTTCTGGCGCGATACAGAGAACATTACTTACAGAAAACAGACATATTGTCAAAGTATGGTTAAATATTGTTAAACATTGTCTTTTCTTTTTCGTTTCTTGAATCGCACGCTTTTCTAAGTAATGTGAAAATGATAACAATGATAATAATGCGAAACTACATTAAAATCTAGTTCTAAAAACGTTTGAAGATACTAGAAGTATTAAACTAAAATCCCTCCCCTAAATAGCACGAGGCAAAAACATCTTGGCTGTGTTCTTAAACTAAGCAAAGAAATTAAATTACTAGTATAAAAATGTCTCAAGCACAACACAGACTAGAAAACAAAACAAAAATATATTCGCTCAGGCGATCATGTATCTTTCGATACATGACAGAGGAAGCAGATTTTCTTCCCGTAGTAGGTTGCCATTTCTTTCTGCGGTAGACCAGTTGTCATCCAAGGCTATAGAATCCGTCATTAGCCATATCTGGGAGGAGAAGAAGAGGATTCATACCTTTCCCAAGGGTATTAGTACGTAAGTGAAGGTAATGAATTCGACTGGAATTCGAACTTGGCACTCCGATTCCTCCACGCGAGCTGATATCCATTACTCTACCATGCCTTATTACCACAAAATTCTACACCCTTTCCTTGGAAAGAGTGAAATTATTCGCTGATTATAATAAAAAGCATATGCGATAGAATTTATACACACAGTTTAATAAATAAAACTGGAGCGTCTGCTTCGAATATGAAGTATCCAATGGAATAACATTTGAAGTAGTAAAAATATCGGACTAGAAATAAATCCATAAATTCTTTATAAATTATATATATATATATATATATATATATATATATATATATATATATATATATGTGTGTGTGTGTGTGTGTGTGATTTGATAAATCTCTCTTCATATCTATCTAGTCAGGATTCTGCTTATCATCTGTTTCCCTCTTACACCTGTTGTCAGTATTCACACCCAATTAAATATTCTGTTCGCATCTATCTATCTATCTATCTATCTATCTATCTATCTATCTATCTATCTATCTATTCCACTTTACTCACCTCTCTTACTTTTTTGCAGTGCCAAACTGTTCATATCTATCTATCTATCTATCCAGATCTCTTCGTTATCTATCTATCTATCTATCTATCTATCTATCTATCTATCTATCTATCTATCTATCCAGATCTCTTCGTTATCTATCTATCTATCTATCTATCTATCTATCCTTGTCTCTTCGTTATCTATCTATCTATCTCTCTATCTATCTATCCAGATCTATCTATCTATCTATCTATCTATCTATCTTACTGTTCCTATTTATCTATCCAACCGTGTTATTTATATTGATTTCAATTAGTTCATGTCTGTTTCGCTGTGTCGTGACATTACCCGAGCGAGAAGTATCGATCCATCAGTCACCCGCTTATCAGCCAAGTACCAATATCTTTCGACTCATCGGACAGTTTGGACAGAATCTTTCTGTCTACTGTCCTGAATCACCCAATTCCCTGTCTCTCTAAGTCAACGAGTTTTTCACTCTTTCCAACTGTTGATCTTAATTAAAATAGAATTTGACAATTTCTATGAAAACAGTAAAAAAACATTCGTTAAATGTTTTACATTTACCGTATATTTCCGCGTATAAGGCGAACTTTAGATAAGACGAGGTCAAAAAAATATAGCAAATTTCAACGAATTTATGCTATACCCGAGGTATAAGACGACTTCTTATTGGTTATATAAAGATGATGTTGTTGGAAATGTTGTTACTGTATCTGTAGAAATTCAAGATAAACGAAATAACAAAACCGGTTCTAGAATTGGAAAAACACCATTGTTTTTGCACGAAATCAATTTGGAAACACGAGAATGAAAGGGGGACAACTCATATCGAGTTATACTTATTATAAAACCCAGGTTGTGTGTGTGCGTGTTCGTTTATATATGGGATCATTGTTTTGTTTACGTTTCATCACGTGATCTCCTCTTCTTCTTCTTTATCTAAACAATTACAAACAGCCTGGTGTACCAATGGCCATTTACTTATACTTCATCGACAATCACAAAATACTACTACGATAACCCACGACAATATTACATTCCAATTTCAACATTGTTTTTATTTGCAATCATAACTCCATGTTTACATTTTCTCAGCTGAGCTTGCATGAATACAAGTTGACTTCATTGATATGGAATTATTTTTCAGACAGGCAATTTATTATCAAGTTATGCCAGTAAGACATAAGATAGAAATGGCTTTATTACTATTATCAATTTATTTGATAATGTGAATCTTTTCATGTACATTATTGCTTATCTCACTGAGACAGAGATTAGCCTACCGAACAAACATCACGCAGAATTTAAACTTTCTCTTTTAGAATTGTAGTATAAGACAATTTTTAAGGGTAATTTTTGTGATTTATACACGGAAATATACGGTATATCCCAAAGAGGTCTAACATCACGACGCCCGTAACCCATTAGTGTCGTAAGAGTACCACATGTGCTTCAGTCGTAGAAGCAGTGATGTATCTTGGGTAAGATAGCCTGATGGAAAATATTCCTCTTTAGGCTAGTTTTGAATTCAAAGCTTTCCTTCTTCTAGACTGGTTAACACCTGAAAGCAGGAAACAGAATTGAACGGTAGTTGAATATAGCTCATCGAATTCAACTTCTAAGCCGATAATGGTTACGCTATCTTGATTTCTGTAAAACACGTTGATAGATTTTATCTACCACCGCTCAACGGTGTTAGGATGCGACATAAATTCAGTTTAATGTGTGGTGCTCAGACGCTTACAATACTTTAAACTTTCTTTCAGGCCAAGGAAAAACTTGCCCAATCTCCGTGACCACTGTCATGCTGGCCATCAACACTCCCTCTTTGCAGCAATGGAGAAGGTACTGCCAACTGAGTTGTAATCTCTAGGATTGGCTTCATTCATAGTTTAGAGCAGAGAACAGATATTACAGTTTGATCGTATTTACATATCTCCTTACGGTGGTAGGATGTAACACAAGTTGCTTTAATGTGCAGTGCTCTACATACAGGACAAAACTTTCCCAGTCCTCGTAAGCAGTATCCATGTTGATGTCGGTATCCACCAACTTCCATCTTTGGCGTACATACGGACCAAGAACAAAAACTGGCGAGTCCTCGCAACCACTGTCACACTGGCGACAGTATTCCAATTCTCCCTCTTTAGTATAATGAGTGGGATATTTTGCCGCAGGGTCGGGATACTCGGAACTAAGCATTCCTTAAAACTTTTTTTCCGTGAAATGCTCGAAGACAAAAACACAGCAGATGGGTTGAAAAAACTGATACATTTTGCTCTCAGACCGAAGAAAATTTGTCCAAAAGTTTGTTGATTTCAAACGATTTCCGTTGAATTATAATCTACTTTCGAGGATTATTTTTTGCTATACTACAACTACTACTACTACTACTACTACTACTACAATAATAATAATAATAATCATACTTATTATAAAACCCAGGTTGTGTGTGCGTGTGTGTGTGTGTGTGTGTGCGCGCGCGCGCGCGCGCGTGTGTGTGTGTATGTGTTCGTTTATATATTGGATCGGATTTCCTACATTTTTCAACCGATTTCAACAAAACTTCACAGGACTCCGTAAAATTACCTTGCGGTGGTTCTGACAGTACCAAAAATTGGAAAAACACAATTGTTTTTGCACGAAATCAATTTGAAAACACGAGAATGAAAGCGGGACAACTCATATCGAGTTATACTTATTATAAAACCCAGGTTGTGTGTATGTGTGTGTGTGTGTGTGTGTGTGTGTGTGTGTGTGTGTGTGTATGTTCGTTTATATATGGGTTCGGATTTCCTACATTTTTCAACCGATTTCAACAAAACTC